CGCAATGTTGTCCATAGCTTGTCATGATCCACACAATCGAAAGCCTTTGTGTAGTCAATAAAGCACAGGTAAACATCTTTCTGATATTCTCTGCTTTCAACCAAGATCCACCGGACATCAGCAATGATATCCCTTATTGCACAACCTCTTCTGAATCCAGCTTGTACCTCTGGAAGTTCTCTTGGCGGAGATGAGTGAGTGCCTCCTGTGCCCCCTCACTTTCTTGTAAGATTTCAAATTTTGTTCCATCAATTCCTGGTGCCTACTTCTTTTCTAATTCCTTCAATACACCTTGGACTTCCTCCTTCAGTATCATTGGCTCTTGATCATAAGCTACCTCTTAAAACAGTTGAACATTAACCATTTCCTTTTGGTACAGTGACTGTGTATTCCTTCCATCTTCTCTTGATGCTTTCTGCATCATTCAATAATCTGCCCAGATAATCTTTCAATAACGAAAGTCAAGGCTTGAATTTTTTCTTCAGTTCCCCCAGTTTGAGAAATGCTGAGTGTGTTCTTCCTTTTTGGTTTTCTGATTCCAGATATTTGCACATTTTTTGTAATATTTGGCTTTTTCTTCTTGAGCTGATCTTTGAAATTTTTTGTTCATCTCTTGGACTTCCTCATTTCTTCCATTTGCTTTAGCATCTCTATGCTGGAAAGCAAGTTTCAGTGTCTCTTCTGACATCCATTTTGAACTTCTCTTTTCTTGTTTTCTTAATATCTTTTTGCTTTCTTCATGTATGACGTTCATGATGTCATCCCACAACTCTTCTGGTCTTCGGTCTTTAGTGTTTAATGTCTCAAATCTGTTCTTCAGATGATCTCTGAATTCACTAGATATTGAATTTTAATTCAAGTTAAATTTGAATAGCCACATGTGGATAGTCGAGTAATGAAAAGTGGAAAGAAGATTTATGCTTTCTCCCCTCTGGGTTTTAAATGACAGAAAGAACAAGTTGGAATAAAATGTCAGTTTTCTTAATTGGCAAAGCATTTGCCTAATAACTGCCAAAATGTAACTGCTAGAGCTGAGTTTGGAAGTACACTTTGAACCTTGGACAATGTGATTGGTGGGCCATGTGAAGGGAGAGATGGGTCTTCAGAGCCCATCCTGAACCCTCCAGGTAGCCTCAAGGCCTACAGACTGGTCATAATAACAGATGAGATTGGGGAAATAGAAGACAACTGATAGGTTCAAAAGAATTTCCATGTCATACTAGTCAGAGCACTGAGGTTTGCTGCTTAGGCCCATTTACTCAGGTATTCTGTTGATGTGCCTCATTGAGTCAGCTCTGACTCATAAGGCCAAGAGTGACTGGTGGGTATGAACTGCTAACCTTGTGTAGAGCAGTCTCGTGCTTATCCTGCAGTGCCATACTTGTTGTTGTTGTTGTTGTCAGGTGCCATCGTGTCGGAACTGACTCATAGCGACCCCACGCACAGCAGAACAAAACAATGTCCGATCCTGGGCCAACCTCACTACCACTGCCACACGATGCCATCAATGATGCCACCTGGCCGATCCATCTCATTGGGGATCTTCCTCTTTTTCTCTGACCCTCCATCTTACCAAACATGATATCCTTCTCCAGCGACTGTTCCCTCCTGACAATATGTCCAAAGTATGAGAAACGAAGTTTAGCCATCTTGGCCTTCAAGGAGCACTCTGGCTGCACTTCTTCCAAAACAGATCTATTGGTTCTTTTGGCAGTCCATGGCACTTTTAGTATTATCCTCCAACACCACAGTTCAAAGACATCAATTCTTCTACGATCTTCCTTATTCACTGTCCAGCTTTCACATCCATATGAGGTTATTGAAAATACCATGGCTTGAGTCAGGCGCACCTTAGTCCTCAAGCTGACATCTTTGCTCTTCAACACTTTAAAAAGTTCCTGTGCAGCAGATTTGCCTAATGCAATACATTGTCTGATCTCTTGACGGCTGCTTCCGTGAATTTTGATAGTTTATCCAAGAAGCACTGGACTGCTAACTACAAGGTTAGTGGATTGAATTGTTGTGATTCTGAGGGCTCTGCCACTGTATTTTAAATAACCAGCAGGGTCACCCATGGTGGACAGGTTTCAGATGAACTTCCAGACAAAGACAGACTAGGAAGAAAGAGTGACGAAATACTTCCGAATCGCTAGTCACTGAAAACTCTATGAATAGCAAAGAAACACTGTCAGATACAAGACCGGAAGGTGGAAAGGCACTCAGAATGCAACTGGGGGAAAAAATGAGTCCTCAAAGTAGAGTTGAGCATGATGACATGAATAGAGTTAAGCTTGGGGAAGAAAGCGCACAGAACCTTCATTTGCTGATGGGCAGTGCCATACTAGGGCTCACTTATAAGTCTAGTCCAGTAAATCTGGACTAATCAGACCAATCTGACCAAAACTCATCATTCAGTTTGCCATACCAAATGTGTAAAACCTACTGTGGCATGGCAACCTTCACAACGTCCTTCTCCATTAAGTTTTAATTTGTTGTTGTTAAGTGTCTTTGAGTATGCTCTGACCCATAACGG